CCCCAACCTACTCTCTCTGCCGCCTGAGGAACCCTAGGCTCGGTCCCGGGCAATTCGATCAACAACTCGAGAGCCTTATGCGTCATGGCCTCGTTGTTGTTGTTCAAAGCCTGCATCAACATCATCATCATCATCATTGTAATCAAAATTTAAAAATTTAATATATATATATATATATATAGCTTCCATTGAGAGATCCTTTATTTGAGTAACACCCTTGTAAGACCCACTACACATTGTATTTTACTAATCCAAACCATCTATTGTTTAGATAATCATTCAAAGATCATTTCTACAAAAAATCACTTGAATCCTATATCATTTAACCACTCGATTGAATTATTGAAATTTTAGTACTTTCTTGAAACACTATATTCATTGATTTTGTCGGATACAATTGGATGTCGAAAAGGTTTTTGATTCGTCTAATTTTTTGCAAGGATAATCTATAAATGTAGACTTAAAAAATAGATGGTTTAGATTGTTGAAAAAAAAAAATTGATAGGGAATCCTAAAGAATGTCCCTCAAATAAAATTATTTGAGAAACCCCCACATATGAATACCAAACAAAGCCTAAAATTACTAAGAAGCCCAGCCAAAGAGCAAATTGATTTGTGGGCCTCGACCAGTCATAGTAAACTAGAATATTGCATTATAAACCGGACCATTGTTTTGGCATATAGCAGCTGAAAGAAAGATGCTGTGAGCTTTAGGGGAACAACAAGACAAAATGTCATCGTAGAAATCCTTCTTGTGTAATCTAAATGGAAAAAGGCAAAAAGAAAAAAGAAAAAAGAAGCTCCAACCATGAAGCTTAGAAAGTTGACCGATGAATAAATAGTAAGAACATTAGTTTAGCATATGGTGGTACATACACGCTACCATCATATCATAGGAGTTCAAACTAAGAACATTAGTTTACAAATTAAAATTATTTTTTATCAAATTAGACCCGTTCGGTCGCTATAATTTTTTGTCTTTAAGTAGCTAGAAAGTTGACCGAAGAATAAATAGTAAAGAAGACAACTAATAAATCAGCAACTAACAAAAACTATAATGACGAAAATGATAAATAACAAATTGCTTGTTGGCTTGGCGTCCGAGAAGTCGTAGTAGAGATTAGAATACCACTACAAAAAGTAGAGTCATCTCTTCCATTGCTTTCAAGTTAGTACAAAAATACTCATAAACTCGTATTAACTAGTAATTACCAATTGGACTCCCGAATGAGTCAAAGGAAAAGCTGATCTATAAAATGACCCAATGAAGAGTGTGAGGATCCATCGTCCATCAAGGCTTTCTTGCACTTCTCACTCATCTCCTTCACCCTCTTTCTTTGATCACTATCATGCTCCATCACCTCTTTTATTCCTCTCTCTATCTCCTCTGCACTCACCACCACTTGATCGTCCCTCCTATAACTCATCTTAATTTCCACTGCCAAACCCAAATCATTCACCAGTTGAAAGGCATTTAGTTGTTGCTCCGCGTACATTGGCCATGTGGCAACCGGCACACCATGCCACAGACTCTCCAGCGTTGAATTCCACCCGCAATGGGATACGAACCCTCCGATTGCCCGGTGAGCTAAGATGGCCACTTGCGGAGCCCATCCTATAACCTTGCCAATCCCAACCGTCCGGTCGAGGAACCCTTCTGGCAAGACTCCCTTGTGATCTGCATAATCACTTGGGAACGCAACCATCCCCTTTGGTGGGGCCTGGCGTAGGGACCACAAGAACCGAAGCCCACTGTGCTCCAGCGCGCACGCTATCTCTCTCACCTGGTCCTCACCAAAGCTTCCCATGCTCCCAAAGCAGAGGAACACTACAGACGACGGAGGCTGATCATCAAGCCACTTTAAGATTTCCGAACCTTCATGGTTATCGTCACTCTTCAAGTTCAGTATGGGTCCCACTGGGTACAGTGGTGGAGTTTTGCCATCGTCAGAAATAGAGTGAAGGGCATGCGATTCTAGCTCAATGAATGTGTTTACCAAAATACCCTTGGTTTCTCTAAACCTTCTGGCATGGTTGATGAATTCAGCGGCGCCATGCTTGTCCAGAAACACACCAGGTAAGACTGATCCAGCAGGCAATGGGTTGACAAAACTCGGCACAACCAACTTAGCATCCGAGTCCTTGAACTCAATGCAGTCCTTTTTTTGCTCATCATGAAGGGTTTGGAGGTGAAACATGAGACCAAGAAACCCTGAGCTGGAGGTGAAGAAGATGTACGTAGGAACCCCAAATTCATCGGCCACGTCTATCATAGAGGTGCAGAATAGGTCGATGACAAACCCAGCAAGCCTAGGCTTGAAATCGGACTGATCTAACTCAGTGAGTTTGGTGACAGCATCTTTAACGTGGGCCTTATGATTCTCAATGAAAAACTTGAGGAAGAGGTTAGGGTTGATGCCCCGAGTCTCTATGGCTTCCTCCGGGAGATCAACGAACTTGATACGTTGTGACATGGAGTCTGTGTAGGCATCAACAGTACCCTTGGGCATGCAGTCAAAAGGTAGCTTCATGGTGAGCACTGTGATGAAAAGTTGGTCGTCTCGAGCAACCAAGAGCTTTGCAATCTCGACTGCAGACACGAGATGGCCAACACCTGGGGAAGGAATGAAAACTAGCTCTGCAGCTTTCTTCATTTTGGAGACAACACGAAGGAACTCAGATAGAGATTAGAGAGATGGTTCTAGCTCAAGCTTTCACTTGTGACTTGTGACTTGTGAAGATCGATTAGGACGATCTGTAGCTTTTATATATATCATGTGCTGCGTCAATGCATTCACATGGATTTTGGTGTTTCTTATAGACCGCTCAATTCTTGGAACTTTCCTTGGCCCAGCCAAGAAAGTGATGTCATGCCTTTGCTGGCATTCTGTAAAAAAGTCGGTTTTATTGTCCCAAAGCTTTCATGTTATCTTGTTGAGGAAGTAGTTTCCAGAAAGACTTGGAGACCAAACTAAAGAACAAATGTGGGGGCCCTCCGACCATTGGTTTGTGAGCCCTGATGAATTCTGGATTACCACACAACGGTGTTTATATTTAACATAAAAGTAAGCAAGCAATTGGATTTCATCCTCAAACGGAAAAGGAAAAACGCAGTAAAGTCCAATACCATAGATCATAAAATCATATGGTCTTTTAAGTAAAAAGGTGAAGAATCATCTCCGCACAGCACAACAAATTTAAAATTGGCAAAAGAATACGTGAAATCTTGGCAACAAAGAAAACATAGTACGTAGAAGATAGTGAAGTTATACAAAGTAAATAAATCAATAAGAATACCTAGTGAAATGACTTCCTCCGATTTCTGCGCAGAGGAAAATGCCCGGCTGTAGCACCAGAACTCACTTCAATGGCCAAAGGAAAACAGAGTTCTCTGTTTAAGTTCTTGATGGAGAGTCCCACGGCCAAATATGGTTTCCTCAGGTGCCCTGTGACACAAATTTCAATTTTTCATTTTCAGAATTACGACAATTTTCACCTCCAAATAAATGAACAGTTAGCATTCATGGCGGTATGTGACTCTGTAACCATTTGAGCAATTTAATATTTTTTAGGATGCGAAGAACATGATTCGTATCTATACTTCATTTTAACCATATATGTAACATTAAAGTATAAGAATGCAAGGTAACAAATATATACTGTGCTCATCTCATAAATTACGGATGACACATTACTGAATTCCTTAACAAACATTTCTGGTGGCCTTCATGGCAAAAAATTATCATGCTGCAAATTCACATCTACATACACTTATCGGCAATTTAGCACGCACCCTTCTTAAATTATTATTGCCAAATTATTCTTAAAAAATACGAAATATTATTTTTTTGGTTGTTTATGAAGGAACTAGTACTTATTATTTTGTTCTAAACCAACATTAAGAAAAACAAACCAAAAACAGAAAGGCCCAAATTGAAGTAAAAATAGCTTCTTTGACCAATTTATCCTCCCAGTGCAAATGCAAACTGGTCTGATTTGAGGGTGAAATAGAACCGTCAAGATGGCCTGTTCTATATCTGTGTCTCATAATTTAAGCAGTTATAATAGCCTTCTAAGTGCTATAGAGCACAAAACATAAAACATTTTCAAGATTTCTTGGAAGAAGAGCGACCAATATAATACAGGGCACGCTCAATACTAAGCCAAATGGAAGAAAAGAGCCACTACTCATGCAGGGTATTCCATCAAAGATCAAAGAATCATTTAACTAAGGATGAGTCATGACCATGCACAACACTACTATAGACACAAAACATGCGTTTTAACTGACCTGAATAATATGGATAATGCCTTTCCGAGATGGCAGCTTATTACATTACTCTGGCCCAGATCCCAGTGTCCAAGTACACTACCAAAGGCCATATGGACAGACGCGAGCACCATCTGAGAACTGCTGACCTTTCCAACTCACCTGCTTTGGACAACTGCTGACCTGCCCAAAATCCAAATTAGCATAACAGGAGAGTTCCATCTGTAAATACAAGTGTTGTGTTGGATAACATAAACCTAAGATGAAGTTAAAATCAATTAACAAGACATGCCAATATACTTGCCGGAAAGCAGCCAATATAATAGTTGTCCATAACTATCTGTCTCCCTTGTGCCAAACCGGACCATCCATAATTTTAGGAAGATTGAACCATTTACTCCAGTCCATATGTCCTTTTTGGGAGCTAGAGGAAAAGCATCTGAAAAAGGATTACTGTCGTGTCCACAGGGACAAATGATTGATCCAAAGCAATTTACATGAACACTGTCTTCATGGAATATATCACTTCTTGTTATGGAGCCTGGAAAGGAGTTGTGGATGCTGTGATGAGTACACCACCAGATGGTGGATACTTTACAAGCAGATTTGTTGAAGTAGTCCACCACATTGAATGAAAGCAATTTACATGAACACTGTCTTCATGGAATATATCACTTCTTGTTATGGAGCCTGGAAAGGAGTTGTGGATGCTGTGATAAGTACACCACCAGATGGTGGATACTTTACAAGCATATTTGTTGAAGTAGTCCACCACATTGAATGAAAGCATAAGATGGCAACAATTCTTTATCCAGTACGCTTCATCACTCATTAGGTTCCAACATTGCATCTAAAGGGGAACTGGGAGAAGGCCTATAACCAGTATCTTTCATTGTCATAGTCAATTCCTCCAACATATCATATATCTCATCACACTGAGGGTGCTTTTGGTCCCTAGACACAAAACAGTTCAGAAAACCGGTAATCTCAATCCAACTACATCCAGTCTCCTTTCTCAAGCCTTTTTCCCTCATTTGTTTCCTCACTCTGTCAACATTTTCCCACTTTCCTTCCTCGGCATAAATATTTGAGAGCAAGACATGGTAGCCAGTCTTGCCATTTCCTGCCTCTATTTCAAGCAATTTCTCAGCAACAATCTTTCCCAATTCAAAATGTTTATGAATTCTGCACGCCCCAAGGAGTGATCCCCAAATTTCCATCACATCACCCTCTTCGCCCAACCCTTTGACAAATTCATAAGCTTCAACCACTCTTCCAACTCTCCCTAACATGTCTGCTATACAACAATAGTGTGCCGTTAATGGTTTAATATTGTACTCCCTTTTCATTGAATCATATATAGAAAGACCGTCATCAACCAAACCAGCATAACTACAGGCAGACAAGACTGCAACAAAGGTAATGGCATCAGGTACAATGCCAGATCTCTGCATTGAGTGAAACAAAGAGAGAGCTCTCTCACCCATTCCATGTTGACCATATCCCAGTATCATTGTGGTGTATGTGACAGAATTCTTCTCATGGGTTCCAGTAAATACATTTTCAGCATAAGTGATTGCGCCACATTTGGAGTACACATCAATTAGGGCAGTTCTGACAAATACATTTTGGTCAAGGTACTGGCGGATAGAGAATGCATGGAGCTGCTTACCCATATCTATGTTTCCCACTGGATTACAAGCTGGGAGAATTGATGCTAAGGTGACAGCATTTGGTATTAGATTCTGCTCAAGCATCTGCCTAAAGACAACAAAAGCTTCTTCAGTTAGCCCATTCTGTGTGTATCCAGCAATCATAGAATTCCAAGTGGCCTGATCTCTATCATGGGTGTACTCTTTTTTGAAAATTCGTTCTGCAATCCTTACTGAACCAGATTTAGCATACATGTCAATGAGATAACTGTCCATCCCCTCAAATTGTATTCCGTGCCTAATAAGATAAGCATGGGTCTGCTTTCCAATATCCAGGTTTCTAAGATTTGATGAAGCCGAAAGTAGAGCAGTTACAGTTACGGAATCAATCATAAACTTTTGCTTTTGCATCTCATAAACAAGCATTAAAGCTTCATCATCTAACCCATTTTGAACGAATGCAGAAACCATAGTATTCCACGAAACAACATCCCTCTCGGGCATTTTATCAAATATTTTGAAAGACATCTCAACAGAATTGCACCTTGAATACATCACGATAGTCGCATTTTGTAAAATAACAGGCATCACTCTCAAATGCTTGATAATAAAAGCATGTAGTTGTCCAGCTAATTCCAACTGTTGCAACTGTGAACATGCAGTTAAAGCTGATAGAAAAGTCACCTCATCAAGAATAGCCTGTTCTGACTTCACAGCTTGAAAGAAAAGGCTGATTGCTTCAACAGGAAGGTTATTTTGAACATACGCACCAATCATGGTGTTCCAAATCTCTGTGTTTCTCTCTAAACAATAGTCAAAAATCTTCCTAGCATAATCAAGGCAACCAAGTTCGGCATACATAAATATTGCTGAGCTCACGGCAAACAAGTCATTCACATATTCATCACCCAATCTAAGAAGCATACCATATAAAACATTCGCATTTTTAAAGTCTCCCATAGCGGAAAGGGCAGGGAAAACATTGACAAAACTGACAGCACTCGGTGTTATTCTCATGCTCATCATCATCCTAAATTGCTTGACTGCTTCTGCATATCTCTCAGTCTTAACATACCACGAAACCAACGTATTCCACGCAACCACATTTCTCTTACGCATTGTATCAAACACTCTACGTACTAAATCATACTCGGAATAATCAAAGTCATTATAGCAAGCAGAGTACATATTCAAAAGTGAATTGCACACAATCCTGCTGGGATTCGGTAGGGACCGAAGAACATGGCAATGCAGGGCTTTACCCATCTTGAAATTGCGGGTATCAGCACACGCCTTCAGGGTAGAAGAATAAGTGTAAGGGTCAGACTTGAGGTGGGGAGAGGAGGCCTTCATCTGGCCATAGAACAAGAGGGCTTCATTGGGCATGTTGTTGCAAATGAACCCAATGATGATGGTGTTCCAGAGAACGGTTGTTGGGCGAGGAAGAGTATCAAACAGTTGGCGGGCAAGGAGAGGTTGGCCTTCTTGGCAGAGTTTGCCGAGGCGGGAGCGAATGGTTGGGGTTTTGAGTTTTGGGAGTGGGAGGGCTGAGGACGAGAGGTTTTCAGGAGGGTTGGCTATTGAGGTTTGAGTGGAGGGAGAGGGTGTGGAGAGAGGTAGAGGAAGAGCAGAGAAGGCCATGGTAATGGTAGGCGGTGAATGAGCTACTCTGCTGAACTTTCCCTCCTAATTTGTGGATTGTGATATTGTTTGGTTGGTTGGTAGTTAGCTAGGCCTCTGTTTTCCTCTGCTTGCTTTGTGTAAAATTACCAAATTTAAACCCCCAAAATGCTAGAGCAATTTTTTTTTTTTTTTTTTCCATCACATCATATTTTCCGGTATCG